CAAAAATTCATGCATAAAATGAGATAAAGAGGAGAAACTATATTATGCTGAAAGGAACCATAAACAACAAACTGATATCACCATTAAAGTTATATTCTCCAAATACCTTAGCATATAAATTCATAAAGGAAAAATTAAGTGAATTACAAGAAGATAGTAATCCAGTAATGGCCAAGAGACTTTGATGTCCTTCTCTTAGTTTTGGACAAATCTAATAGAAAGCTCAACAAAAGGGAAAATGCAGAAATGAATAAATTGGTGGAGAAACCAGAGCTACTTCTAAATAGAACTACTAAAGAAAATTTGTATTTCTTAACACCACATGGAGCTTTTAAAAACTGGCCATGTATTAAGGCACAGAGATATATTATAAATAAATGTTAAAAGGCAGAAATGTTAAACACATCCTTTTCAGATCACCATGCAATAAAAATGCCAATCAATCCAGGGACAAATGGAGACTTAATGAAATCATAAGTAATGAATGGTATCAAAGAACAAAGCATAGGAACAATTAATAATTATGTAAAAGTAAGTGATAAAACAATATACCAAAAGCACGGGGGAAGCAGTGACCCAACCTCCTAGCCAAAGACATGACAGCCACAGAGATGGGAACACTATGGACAAATAGTGGGAGGTCCAGAGTCCCAGTTACCTGGATGGAGAAGGGGGTGGTGATTCCTGGATAGAAGCAGACTCAGTTTCTTCTCTAACCTCAGGTGTATATTTCCCTTCAAGGGTAATTCAAACCACAAGGTGGTGCTATAAGTCCGGGAGAGGGAAGACAATTATAATCATTTATGGGCTACTGACTGAAAGCTACACATTACTGCATTTTTCATAGGGTGAAATAAAAATTGCCCTGTATCTGGTATGCATTTTTACCACAAGTGCTTGTATGGGATTTTTGAACCCTTTTATCCATACCAGAGGAAATTTATAAATAAAATATACTCTGAGATTGCCCATAGGTAACTGACTCTGGGTAGGAGAAAAGTGGGAAAAAAATCATTTTGAGGCATTGCCTCAAATATTGGATCCAGTCAGTTCAAGTCCAGAGAAGAAAGTAGGGGCCCTGGGTTACAACTATTACTACTTACATGACTTCTGTTGTGCAGCCAAAGCCTAGTCTGAGAATTATGACTATTTTGCAAGCACTGCACACATATCATAGGATCACAAATTTAGATCAGAAAGGAACTTTATACATCATTAATTCAACCTTATTATTTTATAGATTGTTATAAGATTAAGTCTATTGGTCTTGAGACCACATGACAGTCTCCCCATAAGGGAGGCAGTAGCTGATAGAATCTATGCATGTGAACCATTGTTATAAGATTAGGTCTAATGTTCTCCCTTTAAGGTGAGGCTAAACATAAGCTTATAGAACATACTCATGGAAAAATACTGAAAATAGCATTTTTTGAAGGTTAATATAGCTGTGTCCCCCAAATAATATTTTGTTTGCCATCAGCTCATTTTACTCTCTGATAACAAAACCTCAACACATTTTCCCCTTACTCCTGAGAAGGAAATCAGCCAGCTGCGGGAGAGGAGGGGAGCACCCCAAATCAGAGTATAAGAATTCTACTCTCAGAAGGGCAAATTGGAGCATGCCCTTCCTGCTTAATGGACCCACATCTCTCTGCTCCGCAGTTTAGTGCCACCTTTATGTGAGTTACATTCTTTGTCAATGTGTATGTCTGAGTTGTATGTTGGGGCTTCCTCTTCTGCCTTCTCTTCCTCCTCTTCCCCATTGCTTGCAATAAAGCTTTGCCTCGAAATGACTCCCATTGTTTTACATGTTATTCTCAGTACTCCAACTTATTAATGAGTTGTTTTCTCACACATCTCTGACTGACCCACAGGCCATTCCTTACACATAAATTGCCTACCCAGACAAAGGCTTAAGATACTGACATCCACACCCATGTGGCAGTGTGAGCCCAGCTGCAGAAAGCAAGAGTCAATGAAGGAACCCTAGGTCCTCCCAGGAGTGACTCCCTAATGGCAGAGGACTGTCATAGACTGAAGCACTGGGAAGTTAGATGACTTGTCTAAAGTCCCTGAATTTAGGACTGAGACAGTGAAGCCTACATGTCTTACTCGAGTTGGCTAAACCTAGAAAGGATCTGAGAGAGAATATAGTTTAATCTGCTTGTTTTACATGTGAAGGAATCATGGCTTAGAGAGGCTACTTTGTCTACGGTCAAGGCAGGTGACTGCAATCTCCAGGCTATTTCCACTGCTTGACACTGTTTTCCTAGGTAGGATGCATGCTACAGAGAGGAGGCCGTGCAGTACAGTGGTTAGCACACAGATGCCTATGACATGGCCTTTTAAGTCAGGAGAGCACAGTTTAAATCCCACTCTTTACACTGTGTCCCCTTGGGCAATAAATTAACAAGAAATTTAATTGGTACATTCATAGCACCTTATGGGACTTCAGTTTCCTGTCTATAAAATTAGGTGGGTGGATTAGAATTCAGGGCTTCTTAAACTTTTTCCACTTACAGCCCCTTCAGTGTTTCTTAATATATGGGTCTCAACCCCAAGTGGGTATTAAATCTATCTTCTTGTCAAATTTATCACTTGGTCATATGTGGCTTAAAAAATGTGGCTGAACACAGTAGATGCACACATTTATGTGAACACATTTATCTTTAACTGTTCCCCAATTGGAAAAGTTGTTAGACCAATGGCTGAGTCAACAGGAATAGATGGGGTATGTGTATAATAGTAAATAATTTTGTAACACCTACTATGTGTCAGGAGCTTTATAAATATTGTTTGATTCTTACAACTACTCTGGGAGATAGGAACTTTTATTATCCCCATCTTACAGATAAGGAAACTGAGGCACAAAGGTCAAGTGACTTTCCATAAAGCTAGTGTCTGAGGACAGACACAACTCAGGTCTTTCTGACTCCATGGCCCAAGCTCTATCTACTATGTCACCTAGCTGCTCAGCAAGTTTTACTAATATATACTTTAGTTTTCTTTTTTGACCAATAATTACTGGGCTTGCTTTTTCACATGCTTTATGGTACTATGGTACTAATTGCCTCCATAAGTTGACTAGTTGTGTTTCATATGGAATACCTACCTGTATGATTTCTGGGAATGCCCATGAAATATACTACATACAAAATATTTCTAAACACTCTAGAATGAATATAAGTTTTAAATGATTACTTTTATTTCCCTGTGAATGAAGGAGCTGAGAATAGTTCTTTGGGTGGGAGGAGTAACTGAGTGGAAGAGACAGTTGGCAGCCTGATGAGAGAGGGCATTATATAAAAGTTTTGAGAGAAGCTTAGGCTGCCACACACATTCACCAATTTCACAATTTCACAAACCTCAATATCCAGTTTCAGTTTTTCTTAAAACTGTGGTTAAATTTTTTTTCATTATGCACTCTCATGGCAGTCTGGTGGAGCCTATAAATACCTTTTATGAATAGTGTTTTTATCTGCACAAACTAGATAGGATTACCAAGAAAACTATACTAAAATCGTTATCAAAATAGTTCCTTAAAAAGTTAACAGACTCAGGGTTAAGAATTACTGGTTTAAGACATAATTTGAGGTTTGACCTACTCAGAAGTCTTCAAAGGTGTGGGATCATCAATTGTTCCCCCAGGTTACTTCCAATTTTTGAAGATATAGAATGCATCAGGTGCACTAATATTACAATTAGATTTGTTAAAACAAACAAACAAACTTGCTGTTGTGCAGGTATCTTTAAAACAAGAGTTATTGGCTTGATCCCAAATTCTAAGATTTTCATCTAGAGCACCACTACCTAGGATCCTGGCTCTTCTGCCCTTTCCCTGCGGTCCCGCAAGTTTTTTTTTTTCCCAGATAAATATAATTAATCAACCTCATGATGAAATTGCTGTCTGAGAAAATAGCTGAAATGGCATTGTAAAAAAAATAATTAAAAGGCAGGGGTTGTTAACCTAGAGTCTCAACTTTAAGTTCTTTTGACAACAATTTCAACCTAATTGGTTTCCTTTCAAATCCTACATATTGTATTTGGTGTATTTAAAAGCAATATTCTGATAAGGGGACCAAAGGTTTCAGTCAAGCCACAAGAACAAGCATTTATTAAACGCCTGCAGTTCTGCACTAGGCACACTGCCCAAGGGGTCCAGGACAGGAAAACTTCAAGGCGAGGCAAGGTTCTAAGGCAAGGAGAAGTAAGGCAAGGTCAGGAGCCACAACCTCCTCAGGGCCAATGAGCATGGGTGCCTCCAGACACTTTGCTGGGATAGTTCATAGGATCCAACCAATCAACATTTATGCCAGGCACTGCATGCTAAGCACTAGGGGATACAAAAAAAAGTTGCAAAAGACAGTCCCCGCCTTCAAGGAGCTTGCAATCTAACCGGGGGGGGGGGTGGAGATATGCAAACTAATATATACAAAAGCTACGTACAGGTCAAATCTAAGAACCAGTTAACATGTATTAACCGCCTCCTGTGTCCCAGGAACAGTGCTAGGCACTAGGGATACAAAAAGAGGCAACAGACAATCCCTGCCCTCAAGGAGCTTACTATCCAAACGTACAAACAACTGTATACAAAGCCAGCTGTATACAGGATAAATAAGAAACAAAGGGGAAAGCACTGGAAATAAGAGAAATGCTTCTCAAAACCCTGGAGGATAGGACCCACAGGCTCTGCCAAGTGCGGGGGCAGCTTCTCTGACTTCCTCAGAGTTTCCGGATTCCTCCAAAGCCTCCGCTACCCCTAATCAAATGACACCGGTGGCCAACAAAACTGGACATGCGCAAGCGCTCGTACGCACGCGCCTTCGGTTTAACCAATCAGCACCGTAAGAGCGACCTCCTGAGGGCGGGGCGGAGAGCGGAGCGGGGCGGAGTCTGAGGACAGGTCCACCGAGGTGATTGGCCCGCCCGGAGCGCCACATTCCGAGATGGGGCGGAGCCTCGCCCCGGGGGCCCCGGGCCTCGGAGCAATTCTCCTAAATTGGGAAGAGTCCTGGGCTTCTCTCGTGCGGGAGGGGCGGGAGCTGAGAGCGGCGCGGTGTGCGCCTGCGCTGGGGTCCGGGACAGGGCGTGTTTACTCCTCCGGGCTCCCGGCTGATCTGTGCGGGTACCCCGACGCTCCCGCCGTCCGCAGTGAGTGCGGGTGACAGTGGGGGCGGGGCGGGGCGGGGGCGCCCGCCTGCCGGGCCTCCGACCTGGGGACGGGGCGCGGGGGCGGGGAAGGGTCTGGTCCTGTCCGCCGTCGGGGACGGGCGCGGGAGGGGACGCAGGGGGCGGCGGGACCCCCGGCCCACGCGTGCCCCGCGTCTTGTTTGTGTCCCCCGCGCAGACCATGTCCAAGTCTCTGAAGAAGCTGGTGGAGGAGAGCCGGGAGAAGAACCAGCCCGAGGTGGACATGTGTGACCGCGGCATCTCCAACATGCTGGACGTCCACGGCTTGTGTGAGTAGCTTCCGAGCCCCCCTCCCCCCCCGTCCGGAGCGGGGCGGGGGCGGGCACGACCGGGCCGGCGGGGGGCGACTCTCTGTCTGGCCGGCGTCCGTCCTGGCTGAGCTCCGCTTGCTTCTGGCTTGGCTCCTCCGTCCCGGTCCTTCCGTCCGCTCACTTTCTCAAACTTTGAACGCGGGTTCTCTTTGGATCCGTGCCGGCGGGTGTTAAATAAGAGATCCAGGGCTGCAAGGGGCCACTGAAGCCAACCTATCCGCTAACTCCCTCATTTTACAGGTGGGGAAACTGAAGCCCAGCGGGCTTAAGGGACTTGACCAAGAGCATCCCAGATGAAATTTGAATCTAGGACTCGACACCAGGGCCGCTGTTTTTCCACTGTTCCGCTCCGATTCATGAATATTTGCCATGCCACTGAGAAGTGTCATGATATAGTTAGTAGACTATTGAAAATTTGACATTACTTACAAACCAGTTGGTATTTTTTTTTCTTGATTTGGAAGGAATCAATATAGTTTTCTCTAATTTTCGTTTTTGACAGGATTTTACCTCATACACAAGATAAAACACAATGTAAAATATGTGCTGTTAATTACACTAGACCCTTATCAAATCATTTAGCTTCATTAAGGTTAACGGGATCATCTCTGATATCTTCTCCAGCTCAAAATATAACATGATACGTGAAGTTATGTTTTATAAAAATATCTTTTTGTGAATATTAAAATGAGCCACCATGGCAAAAAAAAAAAAACCAAACCCAAAAACTTGAATCCCCTTCCATTGGAGGGAATTAAAAACAAGGGTCCTTAACCTGGGGTCTATGAACTTCTTATATATACTTACACATATTTGTTGTTGTTCAGTAGTTTCAATTGTGTCTGACTCCTTGTGACCCCATTTGGGATTTTCTTGGCAAAGATAGTAGAGTGGTTTGCCATTTCCTTCTCCAGCTTATTTTACAGATGAGGAAACTGAGGCAAGGGTTAAGAGACTTGCCCAGGGTCACACGGCTAGTAAATGTCTGAAGTCATATTTGAACTCAGGTTTTTCTGACCCCAGGCCCAGTACTCTATCCATTGGGCCGCCTAGCTGCCCATACATGTGCATACACATCTTATATAATATAGCACATATATACCCACAGACAGGTATATGTATATACATAGGAACATGTACACGTACACAGATAACTTCATTTCAATATAATTGATTTCTTTGGTAATCCTGTTTTGTGCATTTAAAAACATTATTCCGAGGATTGCATAGGTTTCGCCAGACTGCCGAAGGGTGTCACAAAATGAGGTTAAGAATTCTTGATTTAAGATTAGTGTCCCCTCAGTGATTAAAAACTAGAGTTCCCCAAATAAAAACTTAATTCTAAGGGTTTTGAAAATGTGATGCTGTAATTCCCAATCCTAGTTTTTTGTAGGTCCGCAGGTTGTCCACATTTGTGTTGTAAGGGGTATAATGAACTCTTTAAAGCATGATTAGTGTTAATTCAGTTTAATTAGTGGAAAATATTTTTAAGTTCTGCTCTGATGTGTCATTGTGGTGTGGAAATGACTCTGCGATCTCCAGACTGTGCCAGTAGAACACAGCCACAGGCAGATCCTATCAGACTGAAAAGACTTCCTCTCTTTGCCCAGTGACAAGTTTGTGTCCAAAGGGACTGGTCTGGATGAGTTTGGAGAAGCTTGTTGTCATGCTGATAGCAGGAGGGGAGGCTACAGGATGTGGTGTTTGAATTTTGCCTCTTTCGCTTGCTACCTGTGACCTTAGCAAGTGACTTAACCCTCTCTTGTCCTGGTTCCTCAGCTGTAAGATCTGTAAAACGAAAAGAGAATTAGATTTAAGTCTTCATGGTAGGCTACTAAATTGTGGTTAGTGTTTTTATATGTGTCCATGGAGGGTACGCCCAAGCTGATGAAATCACAAATTCTTTAAATGTTGAAGTAATAAAATGTATTTGTACATGTACACTTCAAGGAGTGGTAAATTTGTCTGTGTGGGTGCTATGCAAATTACCTCTTGGTGATGGGGAAAAGAGATTTAATGATATTAAGAAATTTAACAGATTATTAACAATAGGCTATTACAAGTCAAACAAGTTATAATGTAATAATATGTGGGGTTAAGTAGGGTGAAGCCTTCTAGAGTATTTGCCAGTAGAATCCCATGTTTAGCCCTAACATGGTTTCTTCCATCCCTGTTTGTATCCCACTCTGCTGGCTTAACCATGAGATTTTAGAATAGTTATCAAGCACCTTTGAGCAGAGAACCTGGAGGGGGACGAGATAAAAGAAGTAGAAAATTTGGTTACTGATGAGAAGCACTGTAGTTATATTTGGGGAACCAGAGTGTCCTAAATGGGGGCAAAAAAAGGTAAAAAGGCACATAGTGCAACATGAAAATAAATGCATAATATAACATGTATGGCGGAGCTGATCAGGAAAGACTTTCTGAAGGATGGGTTTTGAGCAGTGTTTTAAAGGAGGCAGATAGGACAAAAAGAGGAATGGGTGTTCCAGATAGGGAGCACAGCATGATTAAAGTTAGTGAACCATCAAGGTATGTGGGAGAGACAGCAAACAGACTTGCTTGGGTTGACAGAAGTAACGAGAATAGGATTGGTAAGACAGTGTTGGGCCAGTTGTTGGAGGGCCTTAAAAGAGTTCCTGTGGTAAGCATCAAGAGCTATTCTGTGTCCAGGACCTTGAACAAGGTAATGAAATGGTCAGAGTGATTTTTGAGAAAGATTTTTCAGACATTTGGCCATAGCTTAGATTATAAATGAGAGGGCTTGAAGATAGGAGAAATATTTAGGAAGCTGTTGCTCTAGTCCAGGAGTGAGAAGATTGACTAGATTGTTGACCATGACAATGGAAAGAAAGGCATGAAGCAGAGAGAATTTGAGGTTGGGCAAGGAAGAATTGCCAGCTCTTGGGGATTGATCAGATGTTGGCAGAGAACATTGAAGAGTCATACATTTCAGTGACTTCAGAGTTTTAGGCCTGGAGACACTGGGATGGGTGGTAGGGAAATTTGGACAGGTTGAAACGTTGTAGATAAATTGTGAAGGTATTCACCAGTGGGCAGAACTAGAAACAATAGATGGAAATTACAGTGTCAGATTTCAATTTAATGTAAGTAAAAAAAAGACTTTTAGGGTTAGAACTGTCTGAAAGTAGAATAGGCTGCTCTGGGAAGTGGCGACTTCCCCATCACTGAAAGTCCTGAATCATCTGATCATCTGTCCAGGGAGGTCGTAGAGGGCGAATTCATGTCTGAGTTAGGCTAGATGGCCTTTGAGGTCTCTTCTGTCTCTCAGCTCCTATATTTCATTCATCTGATATTTTGTACTTATCAAAACCTACCTGTGTTGACCTTTCGCAGTATAAATAAACTGATGAAGTACTACCTCCTGCTGACCCTTCAGGACGCAGTACCAGCTTGGAAGAGGAGAAGCTGAATCTGCCAGTGCATTGCTCACTTTGGGCGCTGAAGTTGTCAAGAAAATGGGGACTGGCCAGAAGCAGGAGACTGAAAACATCTGTACTTACTGCTCTGTTGCTTCTTCCTCCCCAGCCCTGCCCATATCCATCTTCCACATCTGGCAGATTACTTTGTCACGTAGTGTTGCTGGTGATGGGGGAATGCCTTCGGAAGAGATTTGTATGTGTTTGGGGATGTGGCTCAGGGGATTCTTCTGTGCCCTTAAATGACTGCTTTTATCATTATTACATACGATCTTGAAAGTGAATCTAAGCCGTTATAGGTTATAAGGTCATCTTAGTCACTTCGCTCAACAGCCAGTCAGCATTTTTACATGTCCGTTATTAGCCGGGCTCTTTGGAGCCTGTATTTGTGGATACAAATACAATGAATGAAATAGTCAGTTCTCTCAAGGAGCTAACGCCCTAATAAGGGAGACATGGAGAAGGAAATGGCAAACCACTCCAGTATCTCTGCCTAGAAAACCCCAAATGGGGTCGTGAAGAGTCAGACAGGACTGAAAGAATTGACTCACAGCCACAACAAATATAAAGAATATATATATAAAGACAATACATAGCAATGCAAAGTATTTAAATACTAGGTGGTTTGGGAGGGAAGGAGCTAGCATTGGGGGAGTTGGAGCGCGGACCAGGACAGGCAGTGCAAAGGCATGGGGAGGGAAGGTGAGGTGTCATGGGTAGGGAACTAAGAGAAAGCCAGTTTGGCTGCATTGCATAATGTAGGTGGAGGGGAAGGAGAAGGAAACAAGCATGTAGTGCCTCTTATGTGCAAGGCCCTGTGCTAAGTGCTTTACAGATATTCCATTGAGATTGGAAAGTTGAGTAGGGGCCAGGATAGAAAGGGCTTTAGAAGCTAAAGGAGTTTAGATTTTATATTAGAGACAATTGGGGGCCACTAGAGTTGACTGAGTAGGGGAGTTACATGGTCAAGGCAAATCACTTTGACAGGAGGTTATGGGTTAGACTGTTGAAAGACTTAAGGCAGGGAGATCAGGTAGGAGGCTGTCGAAATAATCAGGCAGGAAGAGATAAGAGCCTGAATGAACTGAGGCAGTAGTTGTGTGAGTAGAGAGAAGGGGGGGGGTTAGTTGGATTTGAGAGAGATCGTGAGTCAATAAACATTAAGTGCCTTCTGTGTGCCAAGCAACTGGTGGATCATGTGGGGGTGGGCAAAGTGAGTTACAAACCTAGGAGATTAGTTGTTTCCGTGTTGTCTCATAACCTAACCCTTGTAGGCTGGAAAGGGGCATAGGCCTCGCCAGAGTCCATCCTAGGTCACGGACAGTTTGGTTTATAATGAAGCTGACCACACAGGCATTCTGCCCTGAAACATTCCTCTGCAGAAGCAGCATGGTATAGGGGGAAGGGGGCCAGAGTTGGAGGCAGGAGGCATCTGGGTTTCAAGTCCATCTTCTGCAGTATGGGCACAGGTCACATCCTCTCTGAGCCTCAGTTTTCTCATCTCTAAAACAAGGGAAA